TCTGAAGTGGGGGAGTGGGGGGAGTCTTGTAGGACTAAATCCTAACTTGTGGAATATGATGCTATCTTGGGGTAGGTAGTGTCAGAATTGAGTTGACTTCTTGAACACACTGCTGACGTCCAAGAAATGCTTGATTGTGTGTGTGGGGATCCCCCCACAACACACATACACAATGGAATTGGTCTCAGAACGCTTATTTAGTGAGCAATGTGAATGATACTGCCAACTCTCAGAAAAGATGGAGCTCAGTGGAATATTGCTGCTTTCCATCCCTCAGTCAGAATGTCCCTGATAAAAGGAGGGGAGCCAGGAATTAAGACACTTGGCCAAACTTCAGGCAGTCGTCTTGGTGCCATATGCGCTGGCCAACAAATGACCTCACCTTCTCATTTATTATAAATTATTGGGCTATTACCTAAAAATTGTCCCTTTCAGGATAAAAATCTCTAGGAATCTCTTGACCTACACACACCCCAAATATAAATCAAAATCACACCTGCCTCTATGTATTCTTTTTTCTTTTTAAGGATTGGAACCTGGGCTAACAACTCTTGCCAATCTTTTTTTTTTTTTTTTTCTGCCTTATTTCCCAAACTGCCCCCAATACATAGTTGTATATCTTAGTTGCAGGTCCTTCTAGTTGTGGGATGTGGGACGCCGCCTCAACGTGGCCTGACGAGCGCTGCCATGTCCGCGCCCAGGATCCGAACCCTGGGCGACTGCAGCGGAGCGCACGAACTTAACCACTCAGCCACGGAGCCGGCCCCGCCTCTATGTATTCTGAGGCCACAATACAAGGCCTTGCCCAGACACTTATTCCCTTCAGAGTTATAAACATTAACGGTAAAAAGTCACATATTTTACTTCTCAAAATATACAATGTGAGCTCTTGAAAGAAGCATTCAAAAGGATTTTCATGTCCCTAATAGGTCCCAAATAGCAAGTTTAGCTAAGAGACATAATGGTCTCCTCAAACAGCTCCTTTTCAAATTCCAGTCTGAATAAACCCCTAAATGTGTCTCTGTCTTGCTCTAGGCCTTAACCTATCTTTATCAAGTTTTGGTCTTGCCCCATCTTATGAGGGCTGGAGGACAGATAGAGGGTACATATTCTCCTGGAACCCTTTAATGGTAGGTTGTCCCATAGGCCAAGCAGCTGCTCAAATAGGACTCATTTGAACCTAAACTTCCAACAAAAACCAAACTCTGTCAAATGCACACCATTCTTGTGACTGTTGATCTTATTGCTACTGGTCTGAGTTCTTTTATTAATTTACAATAGGGAGGCCCAATCCCTCCAAGTAAGCCATTGTTTCTAACTAACATAGCAAAGCTGAGACCTATATCAACTCGAGTGGTTACTTACTTGGAAAGGATACCCCAGTCCCATACCCCAGGTGACATCGTCCTGTCCCAGGAGCTAGCTAATTGTGGGAGGTGACATTACCTCAGATGATATCACTTCAGATGACATCACCCCAACCCAAGAGCTCAAAGTTGAAGATGACTTCACCCCTGACGCCAAAGCTTTTGCCTCAACAACGCCCATGGATTGCCTATCCTAAGGCACAAGTTGGACACAAGATTTTATTGCATCTCTTTCTTTGACATTAGGAACCCTATTATCTTTTCTGAGCTCTCTACCTGCTTAGCTCCTGATCCTGATGTAGTCTTTGCTCTCTGCTAAAGCGTACACCCCTACACTCATTGCCTAAAGGGAAATCTAGTAGAGGTTATTACTGCCTGTGCCATTCCAAAAATTAATGGAGATTGTTGCTTCTCCAAGAGGCACCTGCCTCATGTTAATCAGCCCCTTGACCCCCTAAGTAGAGGACCACCCACTCCCCAGTGCCTTCTCCTAATACACCTCTCCAGTTTTCCACCATGATCTCTTGCCTTGCATCTCTGCCCATGACCATCACAAACACTCCTTCCTTTTAATTACACACAAATAGCACTAATCTTTACATATACTTTACTAACTTATCAGTTCATACCCTCCAACAACATAACTGCCAGACCTGCCACCTTGAACTAAGCGTATTACTAACACACTTTACAACTCCACCAAGATATTACTAGAGGTCTCAAAATTTTCATATCTATTTTCACTGCTAATGCCATATAAATAGAAAATCTAGTTATGGGCCAGCCTACAAGGCCTCCTTATACCTCTACTGGTCTTCCTCCTTTCTAGTCTTATAGTAAAATGTTTTCTTCTTCTTTGGGGCAATTTATTCCCTTCTACCTAAAAGTCTCCATTATCATCACTCCAAAGTTTCTTTAACATGATGTCAAAACATCAGAGAATCAGTTATATTGATCATGTTTTTTATTTTTATACATTATGATGTTTTGGCTTCTCAAAAAGCCTTTCTGGTTGGGGAGACTGTCTTCCTGGGGCTAGCCAATTCTTAGAGACAGCAAAGGGCCCAGCCAGGAGCATGCCTTTGATATGCCAACTAACACATGCAGAGCCAGGCCTCCTCCATCTGGCCCATGCAACCCAGGAGGCAGTATTGCTCTGCCTTAATCATCTTAAGGCCAGTCTACCAGGCAAATATGGACCATCTTTGTAGCCCTAAACCCACCAAAATTATTCAAACTGGCCAATGCTAACCTGTTCACCCTGCCCTGCCTTGCTTTTCCCTCTGAAACCCCAATAAAGGCTTCTGGCCTAGGCTCTCCCCTTGTTCTTGCTTCAGCTTCCTGACCTAAACCTAGTGTTCCTTCTAAGTCTCTCATTTCTAGGGGAAATGTGATTGATATGACACTTTTCTTTTAATGGCATTGTCCTCCATATCATCACTCAGTTGCCTTTATAAATTAAGACCCGGCATAGAACAACTATTGATAGGTATTTTAATATCTCTATAGAGTTAATGAAATTACAGTCAATATTCCAAAAAGCTTTATTTCTGTGGGAATTCAAAAGCTTATTTGAAAACTAATATTAAAAATAAACATATGGCCAAGAATACTTTAGACATGATGAAAGAAGAGGACTAATCATATAAACATTTTCATAATTTATTTATTACAAAAGGAAATTTTAATTATATCCAATTAAGCTGATGAATAAATGAAAAGCAATAAGATATATTGGAGTATATGAAAAAGACATTTGGTTTAAAACTAATTGTGTCCGACCTTCTTTTTCCAGAAAGGAAGCGGCCTGTAGAGTAGACACTGTACATCTGCTTTAAATATTTACAATGTCCTAAAGCAGAGAATGATGCCCTTAAAGGTAGGGATCTTGCCTCCCCACCTTCCATAGCAGCATTTCTTAAAAGATAAGCATTTTTTCCCAGAAACTAAGAATTAGTTACTGACCTACTGTGCTCATCTCATGACCACTGACCTCTTGACCACTGACCTGCTGTGCTAACAAAACATCTCTTGACTATAGTAAAAGGGATACTTCTGTCACATTTGAGATATGTTCCTTGTTATAAGATGGTATATAATCACTCTGTACACCCCACTTCTTCAGAGAGCTTCATTCCTTGGTGGAGGCCTGCTCCTGGGCTATAGTCCTCAAAACTGGCTCATACAATAAACTCACCCCCATTTTGATTTATAGATTGATTATGGGTTACTTGCATTGACAAAGCCCAGAACAGATTCCTGGATCGTAGTAAATGTCTCCAAAAAACTAAAAATTCCTATATTCCTACACAGCAGGGAACATATTCTTGAACTTGCACCAGAGTATCCTGAGGCTACCTTAAAAGTCCTTTTTAACTATACCTCCAAGTATTAATCAATGTTTTCAGAAATGAAAAAAATTTCAAATTTCTAAGACAAAATCCTGAGTGGCCAAAGTTTCAGTATAGTTACTGCTTGGATAAATCTGTCTCCACCCAGATGTCAGTTGTGTTCTGTTTCATTTTTCTCTGAGATTTTAACTTTTTTTAAAACCTTTTTACTGATGTTTTCCAGAATTAGCCAGCCACTGCCTTTGAGTAACTAAATAGTCATTATTAATGGCTTTCAGTGATTTTCACTTCACAACTTTTTCTGAGCTAATCTCAACTCCCCATGAGGACACCTTTCCTGCAATAACAGTAGGAATGATAATCACCTCCCATCAAAGAGATGAGATCTTGGTGTCCCAAATCTTTCTCTTAGGGATCTTCTGTCCCCTTTGTACATGTGCTCCTACTGTGAACACTATAAACATTGTCCTCTTCCAAAACGACATTTGGTAAGTGGCTCTTCTACTTGTCAGGTTCCTAAAAGAAATTGAGTGTATCTAGGACTATGAAGTAAGAAATATTATATAGATATACCAGTGTTCCTGAATGAGTCAGTTGGACACAATCACTGACTTTACAGGCAGGAGAGACACTTTCTGTGGGAACCAGAAACAGAGTTCCAGCTTTGTCCTGCTTCAGGGCAGTCTAACATCCCTTTTCTATCTTCTCTGTCCCCTCCCTGTGTGGAGTCTTTTTCTCTTGTTCGTGACATGACATACTGAAACTCATCAAGCTGACTCTAACCTTCCAGGCAACAGGCACTTGAAGAGAAAGCACATAATGTTAGGTTCCAGCTAAGAGTAGACACATTATGTGTCTGAATGATACATCCCTTTGGATTTGTAGTCATTGGGAGCACCTGGGAGCATGCTAAGCTTCAAGGAGACTGAACAGTTAGGTGATCAGTTGCAGACAACACTCCCCAGAAATCTGAAAAGAGCCCCTTAAAAAAAAAAGCATAGATCTTCCCTCGCCCTAAGGGGCTGGAGACACCATTTCCCAGTATCTCTCGCAGTGCCTCTTCCCCTGGAAGTTGCACCCAGCAGCGCCTACCACCTGGGCCTTTGGAGCTGTGAGAACTACATTACCCAGAGGAAACAGCGCCGGGCGCCCTCGGCGTTGAGCCAACGAAAGATCAAGAGAGGAGCATTTCCGTACGTGCCCACCTACTCTGGGCGGGACTTCCGGCGCCCTCCTCCTGGCGGTAGTTTTGGGTTTTCTTGAGTCCGTTCTCTTGGTAACGGTCTTCGGAGCGCCGCGTGGGGGGTGAGGGGACGGACAAGGAGCGTGGGCGGAGGCGCCGTCCCGGGGGCCGAGGCGGGTCTGAGGCTCGGTGACGCCGCCCGGGGCCCCGCGCCAGGCCCGGGCCAGGGAGCGCCGCGCCCGGCGCCTCGTCTCCCGCCGCTGCCGGCCCCGCTCCGCCCCCGAGGCCGATGGCGCCGGCCGCGCGGAGGGAGCCGGCTCAGGTGAGCGCTCGGCTCCGGCCCGCCCCGCCCGCAGCGCAGCCCGAGCTCCAGCCCTCGGGCGGGCGCTGCTCCCGGGCCTGCAGCCCAGGCCCCGGGGCCGGGCCGGGGAGGCGCTCGTGGGACATGTGGCTGCGGGCGGGGGCCGGGCTGCGGGCGAGGGTCGCGGTCCGAGGGGACCCGGGGTCTGTCGTGTGTGTTCAGGAGGGAAGACCTTTGCTCTGACTGTGAGGCGAAGTCGCTGTTGGAGTAGCAGGCTGCCGTTCTCAGGAGGCTGGGAGCCGTGGAGAGTGGTGGACTGGAAAGGCTTCGCCTGAGCTAGGCTCTTAGGCGTGTTCCAGAAGCTGCTCGGAGCACAGACTGGACAGGGACTGAGCGTGGGAGGCACAGGGGGATTTAGTCCTCGTCCAGAGTCTCACAGCTGATGAGAGTCAGCACTGAGGCCTGAGACGCAGAGAGAATGCCGTCATCCCAGGTGTCCTGGCTCCAGAGCCGGGCAAGGTGACTGGGCAGCCGGGAGCCCGTGGAGCCCTGCCATGGTCACCTGCCTCTCAGCACTTCTTCACCCAGCCTGTCACAAGTACAGAAGCACTTCTGGACCCTACAGAGGGAGTGAGTGGAGGGTGTTGCAGAACCTCACTGATGCTGATCCTACTGATGATCTCTGGGATTGTGGTGTCCTGGGTCGAGGCCTTGATCCTGGGGAGCCTGGACAAATCCTAAGCCCAGGGTCCTCAGAGCAGGCGTCGGGTTATATGGAGTGGCTACTATTGCTGGCAACCGATGGAATGAGGTGTGGAGGAAGGTTGCCCCAGGTGTAGGTGCCAGTCTGTGCAGACTCTTGGAGGTGAGGCTGAACTGGTTTAAGGGAACCGGAAGTCTCCTTTCTTTTCCCTGGGGACAGAGAGCAAGGGGTCAGGAGTGAAGCCTGGAATGGCTCCCTGAGAAGTTGGGTGTCTCTTCTGGAGGATGGGAACGATGAGAGGTTTTGAGCAGAGGAGGGAGGTGATCTGACCCAGCTCTCCTCAGGCTCCCTGTGACTGCGGCATGGAGAACAGACTGGGGGTGTGAGGAAAGTGGTGGGAGGACCAGGGAGAAGCAACTACAGTAGTCCAGGTGAGTGTCGATGATGTGGACCAGTGTGTTGGCCATGGAGGTGGTAGAAACGGTTGGATTCTGGCTCAGTGTTTTTCGGTAGGTCTGCTCTGATTTTCTGATTTTGAAGGTGAGAGAGAAAAAGGTAGAAGTCAGGAATGACTGCAAGGTGTTTGGTTTTAGCAGCTGCAGGGAAGGAAGCTCCATCAACTGGGATGTGGAATTCAGTAGTGGCATTAATTTTCATTCAGGGTATGAGGAGTTTTGTTTTGGCCACCTTAAGTGTATGAGATACTTCAGAGAATGAACGGGTAAAGTGTTAAGTGGGCTGCCGGACACATAGTTCTGGGACTGTGGGGAGGTCTTCAGGATGGAGACATCTGCGAAAGGTGGTGCATAGTATATGAAGCAGGTTGGAGCTGCATGTCTTAGCTTGGGCAGCTAAAACAAAATACCTACATTTCTCACACTTCTGGAGCTGGAAAGTCCAAGATCAAAGACCTGGCAGATTCTATTCCTGATGAGGAGTTCTCTTCCTGTCTTACAGATGACTTCCTTCTTGCTGGGTTCTCACATAGCCTTTCCTTGGTGCAAGTGAGCTTAGAGAGCAAGGGATTTCTCTATTTTCCTTTTGTAAGGGTCCCACCCTCATGACCTAATCTAAACCTGATTTCCTCCCAAAGGCCCCACCTCCGGTTATCATCACTTTGGGGATTATGGTTTCAACATACGAATTTTAGGAGGACACATACGTTGTCTGTAACCCTGGGCCACATTCAGTAGAGGGTAATTCTGGTCATGATGATGTTAATAATAGCTTTGGAAGAGGAGGGTGGAGTATGAGGACTGGGTCTCATGCTTCAGCACCTAGGTGGCAGGTCATAGTCATCACAAAAACAGGTGAAGGAGAGAAGTGGCCATGGGAATGGTGTTGGAGAGAGGATGATCTGGCAGGTGGCCTGGGCTTCTGAGGGATGAGTGCAGGTGGGATGGAAGCAAAGGCACAGGAGTAACTGAGGCCAGATTACAGGCCAGGGCTTCTGCTTATTCACTGCTCTATGGGCTCTCTGGGATTTGTTGTGATCTTGGTGTGTCTGGGAAGTTTCAGTCAGGTGGCTGGATTCATCTAGGTGCACAGGTGGTCATCTGGGAGAATCACTGGACCTGAGGTGAAAGCCTCTGGGTCTGGGTTTTGAATGAAGGTTAGGAGGAAAGAGGAAGGCTGTGACTGGTGAGAGCACATCAAGTGCAGCACAAGTGGAGGAGGGCCATGGGTATATGATATCCACAGGTGGTTTCTAGTGGCTGAGGTTGAAGTAAGGAATAGAGTTGTGCAGAGAGACATGTGTGTATTGAAACATAATTGACATGCAATATTATCTTAGCTTCTGGTGTACAACATAGTGATTTGATATTTTCATACATTACTAAATCTAGTTGTCATCTGTCACCAAACAACATTACCACGATGATTACCTTCTTTGCTGTGCTATCTATTACATCTCTGTGACTTATTTATTTAATAAGGGGAGACTCTTACAACAAGATTCTGGGCTACCAATGGCAGTGGGGACCACTGGAGGTCAGGAATAGTATTGCATCCTGTTTGAATTTGCCAAGCACTCTCTTTATGCCTTCTGTTGAATAATATGTAGGAAGGAGAAGGAGATGCCTATGGTGCAGGGCAGGGGAAAAGTGGTGACTGTGAGAGAGAGACACAGTAGAAAGAGTGATGTCCATGTGGAGAGGAAATGTGAACTGATAGCCCAAGGCCCATCATTGAAGACATAAAGGTTAGATGTGAGCCCATACCCTTGGTTGTGTCTGGGAGGCATGGTCTAGGGGATCCTAGGAGAATTGCCTGACAAGAGGGGGTGCTTCCCTGCATGCCAGGCCCAGAGCTTAGGTGTTGTCTATCTGCCCACCTGCCTGTCGCTGCGGGTGGACGTAGGGATCAAAGGGACCATGAGGAGAGAGTGTACATCAGTGACATCAGGGCCTGTTATCTCCTCTGAAATGGGGAAATAGGGGGAAGGGTGAGCAAGGGATAATAGAGTAGTGGGTGGGTGTACTTCCACTAGGAGAGAAGCTGATCTTGGAATGAACTGTCTTCATTATGACAGGGCTGTGTGACCTTTGAAGATGTGGCCATTTACTTCTCCCAGGAGGAATGGAGGCTCCTTGATGAGGCACAGAGGTTTCTGTACCACGATGTGATGCTGGAGAACTTTGTACTTACAACATCCCTCGGTAAGGACTTCATATTCCTCCCATAGCTGGTCTGTCTTTTCGCCTGTCCTGGAGGCAGTTCTGGCCTTTCCACAGCCAGACCATGGACCCTGTCAGCTTCCTTACTATCTTAGCATATGTACTGTGGGGGCCAGTGCTAAGCTGTGTGCACTACCCTGAGCAACACATTCCCCATGTACCCCTAACACCTGCTACCCCAAGGTGTGCTGGGTAGGATCTGGGAGTCAGAAGTCTTGCAGTCAGCATAATGGATCTCCCCTTGCTTGCCCTCTCCCTGGCTGTAAGACTGTCCAGATTCATGGCACCTGCGGCCCAGGTTCTAACCCCTTTCACTTTCTTTTGTTTTTCATTTACATATAATTGTTATATATCATATTAGTTTCAGGTGTACAATGTAGTGGTTCAGTATGTGTATATATTGCAAAATACTTAGCACAGTATGTCAAGTTAACATTCCTCATCATACAGAGTTACAAACTTTTTTTTTTTTTTTAAAGATTTTTTTATTTTTTCCTTTTTCTCCCCAAAGCCCCCCCAGTACATAGTTGTATATTCTTCGTTGTGGGTCCTTCTAGTTGTGGTATGTGGGACGCTGCCTCAGCGAGGTTTGATGAGCAGTGTCATGTCCGCGCCCAGGATTCGAACCAACGAAACACTGGGCCGCCTGCAGCGGAGCGCGCGAACTTAACCACTCGGCCACGGGGCCAGCCCCAAACTTCTTTTTTCTTGTGATGAGAACCCTTAAGATTTCCCTTTGACAGCCTGTATCAGCAATTGCAGGCATTGTCCTGGTCGCTACTGGTGTAGTTCATAAGCTTTTCTTGAAAGACCCACATTTGAGATTTTTGTTGTAATATTTTATTTTTCCTGTGGTCCATTGTTTCTTGAGTTGGTCTGGGCCAGTGCTGACTGCTCACGTGAACTGTCTTTCCCTAAAGACTTGTTTCATTCAGGTCCCATGTAGTTACACAACTGGGAGTGCGGGGAGAACTCTGATTGTCTCACAGGGTGCACATGGCATGATGGTCTCCAAGGAGCCCTGGCCCTGGTGAGTGGCAGCTTGGGGAGGACATGACATCATGGCTGTGTTCAGGTCATACCAGGAACCTGCCCTGTGTGCACCAATGTTGTAGTATAAATGCCACTGGATACAAATAATTTCTACACTTCCTTCTGCATACTTGACGCTTCTAATTTGTCATTTTATCTGTGACTTCTGGTCCCTGCCATCCCTATGCACTTTGACCTCCATGCATCACTTGTTCCTCTCTCCTCAGTCTGCAGTTCTCCCACAGTAACCCACACATAATGTGTTGAGAGGTGTGCACATATCCTTAAATAGTCCTTGAAAACCAGATACTCAGTTCCAATTGTATTCTTCTGGGCCTGAACACAACCATCCTTCTGCATGGCATGGACATGTCCCCATGACAAGGCCCTGCTAAAGGCTGTTGGCAGAGGAGTGAGTCAGTGATCCTACCTCTCCTCCCTGTATGGCACCCCATCATTATGCCCTTTATTCTGTAATGTCTTCATCATTCTCTGATCTTTAGATGCCCAGTACTGCAAAGCAGCCCTGCTTTCAGATTGCTCCTTCATGCTAAGAACGTTCCTGTGAATTTATTCTTTGGTTTGAATGTATATGTATGACACATTTTTAATGGGACTTCCCTTTCTCACCTAAGTTAGCATGTGCTTTATGATTGTTTCTCTGCTTTCAGATTCTTGGTGTGGAGCAGAGACTAAGGAGGTACTTTCTGAGCAGAGCATTTCTGTAGAAGGAGTGTCACAGGTCAAGAATTCTAAGGCAGGTTCATTAGCTCAGGTGACTCAGCCCTGTGAAAAGTGTGTTCCAGTCTTGAAAGACATTTTGCATCTGACTGAGCTTCAAGCAACATATCCTGGGCATAAACCATACTTGGATGGGGCATCCAGAGGTTTCTGGTTCAGTGCAAGCCTTCAGCAGTATCAAAAGCATGACAGTGGAGAGAAAATGTTTGAAATGGACGTGGATCAGGCCTTGTTTGTGATGAACTGCAGATTCCATGTGTCAGGGAAGCCCTTCACCTCTGAGGAGGGCAGAAAGGAGTTCCTGTCTACCGCAGGCCTTCTGCACCAGGCCACTCCCAATGGTGAGATGTCTCACAGCAGCATCAAATGTGGGGAGACCTTAAACAGTGGAAAAAGTCATGACAAGTGGATTGAATGCAGAGAAGTTTTCAGTAACACAGACACACTTCATCAGCATAGAGTCTGCACTGGAGCAGGTCTTGATAAGTGTAACAAGTGTGAGAAAGCTTTCAGTTGCGAATACAGACTTGTTCAGCACCAGCAAATTCATGTTAGAGAACAGCCTTATGAGTGTGGTGAATGTGGGAAATTGTTTAGCCGCAAAACCCACCTCATTCGACATTGGAGAGTTCACACTGGAGCAAAGCCTTATGAGTGCATTCAGTGTGGGAGATCTTTTAGCCAGAAATCTGACCTCATTCAACACCAAAGAGTTCACACTGGAGAAAGGCCTTATGAGTGCAGTGAATGTGGGAAATCCTTTATCCAGAAGTCCATCCTCATTAAACACCAGAGAGTTCACACTAATGAAAGACCTTATAAATGCAGTGAATGTGGAAAATCATTTAGCCAAAGTTCTGGCCTCCTCCGACACAAGAGAGCTCACAGTAGAACAAGGCCTTATGAATGCAGTGAATGTGGGAAATCGTTTAGCTGTAAAACTCACCTCGTTCGACACTGGAGAGTTCACACCGGAATAAGGCCTTATGAGTGCATTGAGTGTGGGAAATCTTTTAGTGAGAAATCTGTCCTCATTCAACACCAGAGAGTTCACACTGGAGAAAGGCCTTATGAGTGCAGTGAATGTGGAAAATCCTTTAGCCAGAAATCTGTCCTCATTCAACACCAAAGAGTTCACACTGGAGAAAGGCCGCATGAGTGCAGTGAATGTGGGAAATCCTTTAGCCGCAAAACCCACCTCATTCGGCACCGGACAGTTCACACTGGAGCAAGACCTTATGAGTGCAATGAATGTGGTAAATCATTTAGCCAGAGCTCTGGCCTCCTCCGACACAGAAGAGCTCACATGTAGTGATAGGAGAAATCTTTAAGGTGCAAATTTCACCTCAGCCAACACCAATGAGTTCACTCTGGAAAAAAGCCTTAGCTATGCAGAGAATGTGCTCCTTCCTTGCTTAGTATACCAGTGTTGGAGGAAAGGCTCTGAGAGGTGCCATACTCCAGAATTGAATCTCATACATTTGTACATTCACAGACCAGAGATTTCCCGTAAGTTCAGTTATGTGGAAAGCACACGTACCCTCCACAGGGTTTTTTAATCAGATTTATGTTATTACCATGTTCTGTGGCAGAAGCCGTTTCACCTGCCACCACCTGGCATGTCCACATTGTGTGCATCAGTCACCACCCCAGTGTGCTCAGTGAAGCTGACTTGTGAAATCATGAGTATCCTGGCTCTTCTGGGGTCTTCATTCCCTATTCTGTGACAAGTTAGGGCATGGACCTGACCCTGTGTTGTCGCAGAGAATGCTATCTGAGTTCTGCTGATGGCTTGCAGAGAAAGACTAGGTTTTTTAGGGACACATTTGATCTCAGGTAGTGCTTGCAATGAAGTTTTCTGGCTTCCGATTCACCAAACCAGAAAATGCTGGTTGCACATTGATCTGATTTGTGCAGTAATAGACACCTTTTTTTTTAAGCTCCTTCAAGCTTGAAAATTCTGTTCATTGTGTGGGGTAGTTTGAAAGCACCATAGGACTGACAACTTGAAGGGTAAAAAACTTTTGTAAGGATCCAAATTTTGGGTGTCTCAGGACAGTATGATGGTTGAATATGGCACTCTAGTTTTAGCCTGGTTTGCATTGCTGACAAGGCCTTGTGGAAGAGACTGCTTTGTAGTCCTAATTTTTTACCTGGAGGCCAGAGATCTGTGAGTTCAGAAGTCACACTGAGGAACGGGCATTTGTGACACCCCCCAGTGTTTATAGAGTCACCATGAATTTTTTTTCTTACTCGCAGGGGATAGTACATAATGCCCAGGAAGGCTGAGGGGAATCTTAACCCCAGTCCTACAGAAAAGCCATATGCCCTCATATCCAGAATTTAATAGGCTAGTGTCACTAGTTGTAAGTCTACAGGGGCCGGGGAGACTGTAATTGGTACAGAAACACTGGATTAATTGAGAGTGGAGGAGACTGCCGCAAACTACATGGAATGTGCCTCTTCTAAACATGCATCCACAAAAATGAATAAATAAATAAAGATGCATCCATGATTGTTTAAGTGACAGTGACCGTGGGATGAGTGTGTATAGAAATCTCAGAACTTCCAGGTATGTTTATCTTGTGTATCTGAAGTCATTGGCAGACAAAATGTAGTGGCTTTGTGGATTCCTGTAGCCTCTCTGAGCTGTTCACCTCAAGGCAATTGTTCTACAGGCAACAAAAGGAGGATGGGGAGAAGGGAGATCCCATCGTCCAGGGATCCTCTTGACTCAAGTGGAAATGGCCTTCATTATTTGCAGTTTTCTTAAAGTGTACAATTTGATAAGTTTTGACGTGTATAAACTCATGGAAGCATCATCATCTTGATAGGGAGCATATCTGTCACTGCGTATTTTCCTCATGCCCTTTTATATTCTCCCTGCTCTCCCTGGGTCTCCAGGCAACCATTGATTTACATCCCTTTACAATAGATTACATTTTCTGGAATTTTATGATTGATTGTAAAGTGTTTACTCTTTTTTCTGGTTTAATTGATGCTGCATAATTACTTTGAGATTGATTAATGGTGCTTATATGTACATTTCATTCTTGTTTCTAAGTAGCTTTCTCTTCCATGTATAATTGACTGTGTTTATCCATTCATCTGTTTATGAATATATGGGTTATTTCCAATATTTAGCTATTGCAAATAAAAGGTGATATGAACATTTGTTTACTCTTCTTTATACGGGTATATGTTTCATTTTCCTGTTTAATAACTCAGGGTACAATGCGTGAGTCTTGGAGCAGGTGAATATTTAACTTTTTACAGAATTACCCACCTGTGACCTAAAATGGTTATATTTTTCCACATTCCCACTGGCTTTGTGTGAGAGTTCCAGTTCCTTCACACCCTTGTCAATACTTGGTAAAGGTCAATTTTTAATTTTCCTGTTTTAAAATAAGTGGGTAGTGGTGTCTCACTGGTTTTAATTGCATTTCTGTAAAGATTTATGGTGTTGATCATTATTTTGTGTGCTTGCTACCTGAATATTTTCTTTGCTAAAATGTCTGTTTTTATCTTTGGCCTATTTTCTATCTTATGAATTTTGGCTGTGTGGCTTTTAGTAACGAATAAGACAATGAGACAACAAAAACATGTTGGAATTTTACTCATTCTTAATGGATGTGAGTGACTGCTGCATGGAATAATTGTTTTTGAATACTGGAAGAGTATCAGTTTTTCCTCAGGTTTTTTTTTTTTTTTTTTTTTTTTTTTGCAGTATGCACAATGTAATGGCCACCTGTACAAAACACTGTTAAGTTACGTCAGCATTATTGACATACTGTATCACTCTTCTAAGTGTAGACATTCAGTATATTGTATTTAACAATACTGTAAGTCAAGCCCTGGTTTTTATAGTGTTTGCTAATTTCTTTGGTGTAAATACTCCCACCTTGGCCAGTTTTAAACTGTTAACGTGTTGTCACTGAAATGGAGTTGGGAAGAGTTGCCAGTAGTGATACCGAACTTGAAGTGAGTTTGCTCACCCGTTGCACAGCAAGCCAATCTCTGACACCGGGTGTGGTGGAAGAAAGTGGGAATTTTATTTTTGCACAGCACTGAGCAAGGAGAGAGGGCAGCTAGCACTGAAATCCCAAACTCCCTGAAAAGCTAAAGGAAGGGTTTGTATTTGGGGTTTTGGGGGGAGGGGAGCATATGGCCTTGCTGGTCAGAGCTTTCCCACCAGCCTGTCTTTGGCCTTGAGACTCCTTGCAGAGAGGAGTGAGCCCGTGACCTTGCTGGTCAGCAGCTTTTCCACCAGCCTGTATCTCTCTTTGCAGGGAGGAGATAATCCAGGTGCTTGTCCTTGACAGTGTCTGTCTCCATGGAGGATAGTGGATTCTGGAGCCAGGAAGCCAGAGAGTAAGCAGGGAATGAGTGTTTTGGTTTTAACCCCATATATGCTGGGTTTAATGTGGGGAAACTGATATCAGGGTTGATATCAGTAGCACACCATTCTGTTTCCAACATACTGATCCAGTAGCCACAAACAACCTCAAGGATGTAGAGAATAACAAAATGGAGTAAAATGATTAGAGAGTGGCAGTGTTTGATATTTGTAACTTAAAGAGTTTGATTGGCTTAATGCACGTATTTAAAATATATTTTGATGTTTTGATAGGAAAAAAGTTTCCTCGTGGCCTTTTTGAATTCATCCTTCTCAATATATAAAATAACTGATACAACAACATAGTCTACCTTTTGTAATGACTATTTTCAAATAAATGCAAAAGTGGAAAAGACTGATGAATCCCCAATCATCCATCATTATGATCTTGTTTTGTTTCTCCTCATGCACATTAGTGGGTTATTTCACTTATAAACGTAGACATCATCTCATCTAATGTGTAACTTGAGAATGTTTTTCTAAAATGTAAGAGCTTTTTCATAATACCAATAACTTTCTCACACAAAATAAAAATATTTTAATATGATAAATGTGTTCTTAGTACTTAATTTTATCAATTTTCTCAAAAATGTGTTCTTTCCAAAAGACCAATTGCAGTCAGGATACATAATGAGTCTTAACCTATAGGTATCGCTCATCTCGTTTTTCCTTATTGAAGTGATGAGCCATGTGTCCATTATAATTTGCAGCATTCTAGATTTGGCTCATTGCATCTCATATGATTAACATGCTGACCTTTCCTCCAAATTTCCTGTGCATTAGATATTGATAAGGTGAATGTGTGAGGTCTGGTCCCGGCAGACAGGTGTGTGACATTGGCACAACCTGGAAACACATTCAGGTGTTGGGTGGAATGGATGTGTAGTGATGACACTGCAGCACAGCTTGGGGACACACTCAGGTCTGGGAACCCAGTGTGACAGGTGTGTGATACTGACACCACATCCTGGGGATACCTGACATACCTGATATTGGACTGGAGAGATCTTGGGCCGGTTTTATAGTTTTTCCAAGTTCTAACAACTTCACCAGAGGAGTTGATCCAAGTACATCAGGAGATGTTGGCTATGGCACACATGCCACCTGGCTCTGCAAGGAGATAATCAAGTGCCATACAACTATCTAATGTAACTCTTGACAGGGAATCCAGAGGGCATTTTAATGAAGCAAAGTTTGATCAGCAGAATGCCAGTTCAGAAGTGTCTAGGGATAAGTTTTTTTTTTTTTTTTTTTTTAAATCAACAGGCCATTATGGACAATAAGGAACAAAGCCTTTGGCAGTGGTAATCAATGGAGAGTAGATGGGGTGTAAAAACTGGGTTGCCAAATCTCACCTAGACCTATGAGATAGCAGTTGGGTATTTTTCTTTAACAAGAACTTGAAGTGGAATATAATTAAAGGCATTATCCTGCTATATGCTAGCTGTCTAGACATTTATAAGCACAAGGTTCCCCATAGTAATCACACACACAGGTGTACCCAGAAGGGGCATGTGGTACGTGATGCCTTTTAGTTCTGCATCAATTTCACTGGTCAGGAGTGCTTGGTAAGGTCCCCTCCAATAGGGCTGGAGGGCTGTCTTTCTCTGATGACACTTCCAGAATGCACAGTCACCAGGCTATAGACTGTGACCAACAGGGTCCTTTAAGTTGGATTCTGGGAAAGCTGCTTTAACCTGTTCGTGATAGGCTTGAGCAGAAGACGTTAGAGATTTACAGTAGCTAGTTATACTAGCAGAAGACAACAAGGGATCAGCAGAAAATTGTGTATCAACAGACACTGATCTGCTGGTGACTATCTCTTGTGGAGTTAGTTTATGTTTTCCAAAGGCGGTACTGTGAACAGTCAGTGTGACCAAAGACAGTACCTTAGTCCAGGGGAGTCCAGTCTACAGGTATATAGCAAACTGAAAATTGTAAATTGAAAGACAATTTACAGGACTAGAATCTAGTATCTACAAAAGTGTTAATGTAATTTTTCTCTCTACAATTACCCTTTTTTTTAACCAAAGATAATCACAGTAAAACTAATTTATGTATATTAAAAACTTGGCCTGGGGGCCGGCCCCTTGGCACAACAGTTAGATGCACATGTTCCACTTTGGCGGCCCAGGGTTCACTGGTTCAGATCCCAGGTGCGGACATGGCACCGCTTGGCAAGCCATGCTGTGGTAGGCGTCCCACATATAAAGTAGAGGAAGATGGGCACGGATGTTAGCTCAGGGCCAGTCTTCCTCAGCAAAAACAAACAAACAAACAAACAAACAAACAAACAAACAAACCCGGGAGGATTGGCAGCAGTAGTTAGCTCAGGGCTAATCTTCCTAGAAAAAAAAAAAAACTTGGCCTGATTATTTATATAATTGAAAATAAGAATATTCAGAGTTTCTGGATTCTGGAGGGATCAGGTAGGGAGAAAAAGTAAATGTTTCATCTATATTCACAAAGGTATGTCTTATGAAATTGTTGATTCCTTAAAAGAAAAGATTTCTTTAAATCTGGAAAAACAAAACTTTGGACCATCCTCCTCAGTTCATGTAGGCCCATGTAATTAATTCTTGTTCTGCTTGAATCCAGCTTTTCCATTAGTTTTCTTGACTTTGTCTGATGATTGAGGATGTTAGGAACAGTGATAATTCCAAGAAGTTTAAAAGGTTTTCGTCAAGGCTCGTATGATTTGCCCAGTGAAGTGGGTGCCTCGATCACTGGAGACTGTGGAAGATATGCTCCAAGTGGAAAACATTTTCTAACAGTTTCTTTGCCCCTGTGAGGGCATCAGCTTTGTGGCAAGGGAGGGCTTTAACCCATCCAGAGAATATACAATAACAAGAGAGTGTGGATAGGCCATACTAAGTAGCAGTTGAATGAAATCCAGCTGCAGGTGCTCAAAGGATCCAGAGGGAAGCGTTCTGAGGCTTCTGGGGACAGAAATCGTTTTTCTTAGTGCACTATGGTGAGTAAAAGAATGTAAAAAACAAAAAATGGGGTTTTCCAGGGAGCCAGGAAGAGCCAAGAGGCCATCTAGGACTTCCCATAGTCCTGACTCTTCATTTATTTGCATCCATTTTTTACTCATTTTAATTTCTCTGATTCAGGAGCAGACTGTTGTCATGTTACAAGGACATCAGGATGGCAAAAGTCTGGCAACAGGGGGCTGTTCTTAGGGAGAATGGACTTCATTCACACACGCCAATCTTTATAGATTCTGCTGGCCCCTTAAGCTTTTATTTACCAAAGAATATCTTATATCACATTAACTTGAAAAACATTTGGGTCAGTTTCTTTTATTATTTTTTTTTATTGAGGTAACATTGGTTTATAACATTATATAAATTTCAGTGTACATCATTATATTTTTGACTTCTTTGTAGACTGTATTATGTTCACCATCCAAGACTAATTACAACCCATCACCATACACATGTGCCCAGACACCCCTTTTACCCTCCCCCTCCCCCCTTCCCCTCTGGTAACCACCAATATAATCTCTGTATCTCTGTGTGTGGTTGTTGTTTTTATCTTCTATTTATGAGTGAGATCATATGGTATTTGACTTTCTCCATCTGACTTATTTCACTTAGCATAATACCCTCAAGGTCCATCCATGTTGTCACAAATGGCAAGATTTCGTCTTTTTTTATAGCTGAGCAGTATTCCGTTGTGTATATATACCACATCTTATTTATTCATTTGTCCCTTGGTGGGCACACAGGTTGTTTCCAAGTCTTGGCTATTGTCAGTAATGCTGCAATG